CACTGGAATTAGTGGGCGCAGATCGCGTAAGGGGAAGTGGAGCCGCTAACCGGGAGCGAAGTAGGGGTCATGTTCAGGATCGACTCTTTCCAAGGCTGACGAGCTTTTGATCCCCCGGACAGGTGAATGGTGCGAGACTCCATTGACTTTTCTTCAAGATAAAACACCGACTTGTATGTAGCTTGGTTTTCGCAAGTCATTGTAAAAGCCAGTTCTGCTCAATAAGGCATGGCGCATCCAAAAAGGACTAATCAATGGCAAAAGCTTCATTTTGTTACTGGGGTTGGGAACACGGCCAGGGAACTGGATTAGGCCATGGCCACTCTGCCTACTGAGGGAACTACTATTTCTGTGTCAGCAGTGGGGCGAAGACAAGAGAATTTACTCGTGCCAACCCTCTTGCAACTCCAAATACGCCTGATTTTACTCAGATAACCTGACCTACTCACAGCAACCCTTTGATTATGGACCAGGTCTACTTGATATCAAAGATCTGAAGGAGTTTATGTTTCTTATCTGTTCTTTCCGAGGCGGAGGTGGTGTAGTGACAAGTGGCGCGCTTACCACTCGCGCGGCGCCGGGTTCAAATCCCGGGTCGACTCCCGCCCAGGCCAACCAAGCCTTCTACCCTCCGGGGACGGTAAATTGGTACCAGATTCGTCTGGGAGGATAAAACACTGACTTGTACATCGGCTGGCCACCGCAAGTCATTGTATAGGCCACATCGCATTCAATAAGCCACTACGATTCTGAATGGAAGTAGAATGCGTGCCGCATCCCACAAAGGGATTGATCAACGGCGAAGACTTTATCCTTTATCTCTTCTTTCTCAAGCACTACCACTGAAAAAACGTTAATCAAAAAGGTCGACTGAACCCAACTCACCAATAGGACGCCTATAACGTACAGGTGGGCCAAGACGGCGAACTGGGGCAGTCACCGGCAAGTAGTCCTCAAATTCCGTCTCGACAGGATCAAGTATTTCGTAGACCTTTAAATATCGATAATCAATGGATTAAACTCTTGTCATTAAATCACAGTGCCACGGTTATTGCCCATAACGGTGCTTTGGGAAAATCTCCCAAAATGAAAAGTCCCCTGAGTTGAAGTAGACTCCGCGATTATGCCTGGGAAACCTGCCTGGAGGTTTTCTTCCTCATTAGCCATGGTCAAGAGCATGAGACGGCCTTTATTATCATACAGGATCTGATCCGATATGAATTCCTATGCAACAGGGCTATTTTCATGAGTAGACTACCGTAAATAAAGCGTAGAATGTGAAGAGAAAGAAGAAAACATGAGAAAAGAAAACGAAACAAGAAATCCATTTCTGAGGCGCCTGTTTTCCTTCGCTTGTAAGCGGCATAGATGTTCTTCTTCAAAACTCACCGGCTGCGATCGCATCACTGTGGCACGACGTGAAGCAACATTATGTCCTCTGATCCTTCCTCGCACTGATCCGCGACCAGATGCCTAAATTAAGAGATTCAAGCTGATAAGAAAAAACGCCTACACCCAGCTGATATCCAGTTCGAACACGAGCGGTGGAGGAAAACACATTTTGGCCAAGTTTTACTGAGGTTCCAGTTTTACGCCCAATAACACTACAACTTCTCTATAAAAAAACAGAAGCATTTCTCCTGTTGAGCTCATAGAATTTTTTCCCCTTCACGTAAATACCGTTGTGGAATGAGGGGTTTCCCATGAAAAATAAGGGGTACAGGAAGCGTCAAGTGCCACCTTCACTCGATAGAAGGAAGAGGTCGAAAAGTTGGTGCATGGGTTACGCATGGAGTCGCTCTTCATTGAGCTCAGAAACGAACTGAACAATCATCTACGAAGACGATCATTCCCATGTGCGAAGTGAATGGGTCCACAGCTGCTGTAGCATGTCACTTTCTTTTTGAAAGTTGGAAACGGGCTGTAGTGGTGAGGGGAGTGTCGCCCAGATGCCGTTTCCATACCGCGCGTGGTATGCTCAGTGTGAAGCACTTGCGTCGATACCAAGATCCGCAGTGAAACAGAATAAGACACGCGACGAGGACAGGAGTTACGGCACAGACAAGTAAGGGGTCTGGCTTCAATTAGACGTTGGTTGGCCGTACAAAATTCACACGGAGAACGGAGACAGCGTTCGGGTATCACTACCCCCCGTTACCGTGCACTTTTGACCGAAAAAAAAGTGGCGCGCTGCCGCAGCTGACCCTTTCTCCTCACACATGGAAAGGATCAGGATACACGGAAAAGAGTTACCGTTTGTCTACAACAGGTCCTCCAGTCCGATGTTTCTAGGGTAAGAAGTCCCACCTTCGAATTGTTTCGAAGGTGGGACTTCTTACCCTAGAAACCCTACTAACCATAGACTTTATTTCTCTGCATTGCGCTTCACCCTCTTCTAACAGCTTCAGCAGCATCAGCACTTCAATTGAACGAAAAAAGATGGTGTCGAAAATGCTCACTTTTGTCAACTAAGCACACTACAATTGCTGGACCTTCAAACTTACGGGACTTCGGCTAGTACTGAAATGAACGAGCTACGTTGTAGAGCATCGGATTCTCTACCAAATGATATAACATTCATTGGCAAAATACTCTATCTCTATCAGTACAACAAAACCTCGCAATCCCACCAAAATTTTAGCCAGAGAGGGGCATGTCCAAAGCACCGAATTAGGAATAGTTATTCTTGATTCCGATGAGTTAGCGGAAACAGAATGGAGTTTTGAGGTTCGGAGTCAAAACGTTGTTTTTTTTGCCATCTAGATTTCGTTTTTGGAAGCCTGGCAGAGTTTAGCATTAGAAGATATATTTAAAGCTTGGTAAAAAGAACAATGCTCTTCAAAATGCACTAGATCACGTATGGTAGCTTTACGACAAACGTTGATTGTCAAAAAAAAGAATAAAAACAATAGAAACTCAACTAGGCAATTTACAACACCGAAGAATCAAAGGTTCCACTTAAATAGCCGAATACGTATCGGAAGACCCCCGATTTTAGACGACAAGGGTAATCTATGCACAACCAATCTTCTCCGTTTATTATCCTCTCTCTCCAATAACATGAGGTATGAATGCGGCAGTAATGGGCTAAAGCTCACACGTTCTTAATTCTGTCAAGGAGCTCATTAATAACGGAGCGACAAGAAGAAAGGGACTTTTTGAATATTGAATATTGGATATTTGGATACAACTGTAGAACTAACACCTCGCACTGTCTCTCATCATAATGGTATTATTCACACCCCCGCGTAACCTAATTAAGTCCGCAATCTAAAGCTACAAGTTCTTCCTCTCTGCTTCGTTGGGAATAAGTGGAGCCTGAGCGTAACGTTTCTTCCTGCTTACAGCCGTTGCAAAAATACTTGGGCTAGGCGCAGTTCGACAAAGGGAGGGGCATTCTGCCTTTTACGGCTTCACTATTCCTCTACTAGTCTCACTCTCTGAACTCTTGTGATGCTTGAGCAAGCTCGTCCAGCCACCATGGTATATAATATTTATGGACTGCTTTATGGCTTTTTAGGCTTTACAACAATTGAGAGGTACTCTTTACAAAAATTGAAAAATTGACAGGTAATCTCTGCAAACTCAAGCCGCACCATTTCAAGGCTTCACGAGACTTCACAGGTCTTTACAGGTCGTGGAAAGTAAAAAAAAATTGTGAACTGCCTCCCCTCTTCCCCCCCCCCCCCCCCCCATCGCCGCACTGCCCCATATGGGGCTACTTTAACACAGCATGTTAGTTGTCACAACAATTTACGAGTGAGAAATAAAATAGTGACAAAAAATGAGAGCGACAAAAATATAAGCGTGAAAGAAACGCAATAAAAATAATCGAAAACAAATCCTTGGAAAAAAAAGTAAAAAAAAACACACCCTTTCGACAACCGGCTTGTTAACCACTGCTTTCGGTTTTGGCATCCGAGAAAACCGGAAAAACAGTCATATACACATGCACCCACTGTTTTTTAAAAATAAGAACCGATCCAAATATGAACCAATAGAAAGCGAATTACAGGATGTGCGCACCTTTGATGCAAAGTCATTGTTGACGTCCCTACCATTACGATCTTTGCTGGAACCCCTTCAACCATTTCCGAATCCGTCATTCTCCTGAAATTAGCAAATATCCTCCAAACTATGTTAGCCTGCTGGCGATGATATATTCCTGGAAAAGTTTTTTTGGTCAGAACGATAAACATCCTCAGTGGACGACAAACATCTACGGAAGTCCGTGCTATCAGAATAACACAACAGCGGTAAATGCCTTAATTTCTGGGAAATAAGACGCATTCGCAGTCTTGCTCGTTGCTGGGGCGTGTCAGGCAGACAGGGCGTGGTGCGGGTATATACCGGAGAATCCTAATTTGCAGCTCTGGCAGGCATGGCGAGCGACGCCGCGCCGCGAGAGATGATTTCTCCTGCTTGGCTATTTGAATTGGCATATTAAAAAGGACGGAAATGCTGCGTTTGACTCCGTCAGCCATGACACCAACTGACGGTGTAGGAATCTGCCAAAAACACGTGAACATGTATCTCAATACGGGGAAATAAAATGTGCAATGATTCCCATCGAGTTTTGCAGCTCCAATAGAGGAAGCTGGCGTGCAGCTCAAATTTCCCGCGCCCACATTGAAAATTCTCCACGCTCACCGCCTGCCGACGATGCGCTACGCGCGACAGCGCGGCAAATTACGATACTTTTGTCCTAAAGCTGTTTTAATTTTGATAAGTGCTGTTTAACGCCGCAGTGCCGCCTGTTGTTGTCGCTTGCTAAGTTCGATTAATGGGGAACTGGCTGGAATCTCACCAAACTGGAGACGGACAAGAGAATCGCAAGAATGCTGAGATATTGGCAGAAGGAACCGGAACGGAACTCGAACCCGCATCTCCCGCATAGATATCGCGCACAAAATGCCACTGAGATGAGAGGCAAAGAGTGCCCCCCGGTAGCTTAAAGG